TGGGCTCATGGGAGTCCACAAGGAAGCTTGGGGGCGAGGAGAAGCCAAGGGCTATTTTTAGCCCCCAACCCTCCCCCAGCAAACCTACACCCCCATCCCTCCCATCAGGACTTACTTGCTCAGCTCTGGCAGTGGCAGCACCTGGAGTGGCTTGTAGAGCTGGTGCAGCCCCAGGACTAGAGGTGGCAGCTGGGTATTCCCAGCCCTGGGGCTGTGCAGGGAAAATGTACAGAAGTTCTATGCATTAGCTGGATCTAAATCACGTAAGTTTGATACTACTTTGATCCAGGTTTATATTAAACCTGGTTCTGCAATTGTGTGCATAGAAGCTTTGGTTTAGATTGATTTCCAGTCACTGAGACCAGGTCTGTAGGTGTCAGATCAGCACCGGGCCAAGTTAAGTTTAAATTGGGAGGCCATTTTGAACCCAATTCACCTCCCCAGGTGTCTGTACTTAGCCCAAGAGGAGACAAGGGAACATCTTGGTAAGCAGCACCAGGAGCAGAGGTGGAACTTCTAGCCCTAGATGCTCAAGGGATGTTAGGGGAGGGCGGGAGAGAGGGTTCAGGGGATCCTGCTGCATCCTCAGGGATGTCCCCTCTCACACAACCCTCATGTTCTCCCTTATTCATTAAAGGGAAGGCCTAAAAGTGGGTTCTTGGAAAAGAAACTTCTGCTCGAAAGCAGAATCACCAATCTTCGCCACTAGATCATGTTCTTTTTCTGTTTTTCAATCCAGGTTAAATATTTGTAAGAAAGAATGAAACAAACTCCGAAAAACCCAACAAGATGGTTTTAATCAAGCATTACCAGTCCAAGAAACAGAGTGAAGTTTACATTAAATATTTACATTTAGCATTAATACTGATTTTATAATCTTGTGTCCTTGTATCCAGTTTGTGAGATGGTCTGTCACTAGATATAAAGGAATATATCACAAGCTACTGTGTAATTTAAATACTCTTGTCCTGTGCTCTATGCCTGTACTACTTGTTTTAGATATATTCCTTTGGTGTTCAATAATATTTGTACAATTCATAATATGGCAAAAGAATAAGTAGAATCATGCAAGAATACAGCTGGAAGGGATTTCAGATGGCTCAAGGCAGAATCTGCCCCATATCTAAACCACCCCACATAGGAGTTGTACTTGTACTTAAACACTTACAGCAGCCCAGTCCCCAGAGATAATTTGTTTTGGTGCTTCAACAACCCCATAGATAGTTCTACTTAACATCCAACCTACATTTTCCTCGTTACAATTTAAGAATATTACCTCTTGCCCTGCCTCCTGTATACACAGTATGTAATACAAAGTGGGTAGTAATGTAACAAGCCATTTTGTATTTGAAGATTTATTTTATCTCCCATCCTTTCCTTCTCCAGATTGAAGTGCCAAGTCTTTCACCTTTCCTTGTGTCATGTTTACTAGACCTCTAATAATTTTTGTTGCTCTCCTTAAAGAACATAATAAATGCCACAAAGTGTCATACCGCAAGTCCATCTATCCCAGTAGCCTGTACCTCAGTGACAGACAATGGATCCCTAAGGGAAAAAGGTATTTATGCAGGACCTAGCCAAACTAATCTCTACTCTGCCTCTCTTCTCCTACAGCTTCCAGGGGCCTAGAGTCCTAAGCTGGAGGTTACACCATTATCAGATTTAATACCCTCTGGTGGACATTTCCTGCATGAATTTGGCCAAAATTAGCCTTTCCAAAACCTTGTGCCAATGAGTTCCACAAGTTAATCCTACCCTGCATGAAAAATAAGAGGAAAAAAACACTTCCTTTTGCTTATTTTAAATCTGCTAAGAGTCCTCTGGACTCCTTCCAGGTTTACAAACATTTTTTTCCAATGATTCCTTCAGCCAATGCAAGGCATCGCGGGGAAAAGCAGTAAGAGCTTGGCATAAAATCTTTCTGGACCACTGTATGGCAGCAGCATGTGGGAGGGGGAATTCAGACCATCCTCTTTGGATCAGCCCTTTCAGCAGAAATAGGGGCCATAGAAACCCTTCCCATACTGTAAATGTCCCTGTGGGGCAGAGGGGGAGGCAGAGAAGTGAGCAGAAAGCAGCAGGGGAGTGAGTGCTAATTAAAATCTAATTAAATTCATTGCCTTTGAGGGGGTTGTAGTGATACCTAAACAAAAAATTAAGTTGTGACTAATTACCAGTAATTAGCCACTTTCAACTTTGAGAGTATTTTGTGCACCATGAAGGTGGGATAGCGTGATTTCTGACCTTGGAAGATCATCAGGTCCAGCCCCCTGCACCAAGCAGGAAAGGTAACTGGGGGTTATCCTGTTATTCCTGTTCAGAGCCGTGCGCTGGCTTATTTGAGAATTGCATGATTATATTGATGCCTCACGCTATTTCCCCACTACAAAACTTCAAAGGTGCTCACTATATATGCCTACATGCTTCTAAGGAAGTAAAATAACCACAGATCTTTAGCTTTGCACTGTGCATCCATTCATCTCCAAAATAGATTTCTGCAAAATGGAAGTCTGTCAGTCTTGGAAGCCTTGTTGAACCAAGACAAGCTGAAGAGTATCCAAATCTTTGCAAGCTCCAGCCAGTCTTGACAGGTTATGAAGGACTTAATCCATTTAAATGTTACTAGCTTATCAGGAGCAAGTTCCATTGCAATAAAGGTTGCATATTCAGAATCTACTAATTGCACTTTAACAGCTGAGGAAACAGCCAAAATATTGCATGCAAATCACTGGGACTTTGAAGGATTCATAGTGACTAAGAGCATAGGGAACAGTTATGTCAGGGACTAATTAACCAGATTTCACCATCATGGGAGCAGGAGCTGGACGCGAGCCAAGCACAATCAATCCAAAGGCTCAAGTTGGAGGTCAGAGAGCTTTTACCTCGGGTCTTCCCAGTTAGAATACCGAGGCCAGTGTAAGGAGTACTCAACCTGCCTGTTCAGATGAGGCTGGACCAGGCCAGAGCAACAGTGCAAACACCGCCATAGAATTTGCTTCTGATAGGCCAATTAACTTTTAAAAGGCAACTAAAAGACAAATTGATTTTAAATCAATTGGACAAGGAAGGAATGGGCTGTTGAACAGCAAGGTGGCGTACTGGTTCAGCATGACACAGTCACACACAGGGAGCTGAGTGAAGGGCAGCCTGTACATCTGCAGCAGGCTTATACAATTCACTAGGCAGAAAGCGATAGGAAAATAGATGTTAGAGCAAGGGGATGGTTGCCAGGAGAGAGGCAGGACACAGCAGAATTACTCAAACCAGGACTGGCAAAAGCCAAGAACATTTTGATCCTTTATTAAGATATTCTCCATACAGTCTAAAACGTTTACGCACATTCCGTTACCTTACACGCTGTTCACTAGTACCGGAAGCCTGAACATTGTGCTCCCAGCTTTCCCTAGGTGCTTAGGGACCATTAGGGACATGGTAGCTAAGCAATCAGGTTGGTCATTGTCACTGACTTCAGCTTCCGATTGTGTACTCAACCGTGATTTTCTTGAAGTGTAGGCTTTGCAGATTGGAGATGGTTCCGATTTTCAAACTTACCTTGAACGTATTCCTTCAATCTTCTTTACTCAGCATTTACAATTGCAGTTTTCCTTCCAAGGCAGATAAACCAGACCCTTCAATCAGTGGATTAGGCTTGTGACTAGTTGCATTGGGATAGCATTGAAAAAGCTGTAGTGTTTCTGCTGAAATACTCTTTTCCTCATTTCTTCATGAAGCCATCCCCAGCGAGCCTGTAGGTAAATCTGTATTCCTAAAGCAATGCTATAGAAGGTGAGTTTTCCCTCTTCAGTGGAGAAGAAATATGCCATTAATCACACGAGACTGTGCTACATTAAAGCCATAGATTTTTTTTCCAGAGATAAAAAATGTAGTCCCTGCTTTCAGAGTAAAGAACTACATAAACTAACTTGCAGGCCACAAGACAACCTTCCTTTGCTTGTTTCCCTGGAGTACTTTTTATTCCAGGGTCCAGCTATTGTCTTGTTCCGCAGAGGATCCATATAGTAATTTGTCTTACAAATTCAAATGATTGACGACATTGTATCTGCTCTTAGCGTTGAAGATCTCAAGTGCCAGCCCAGTGGATTTTTCATGGCATACACAATTTCCCTACAGTCAAGTGACAAAAACAACAAATAAAACCAAAATTAGCTTTAGCAGAATACCACTATGCCAGCTTAAGTTTATGCGATCAAACTATAGTATTTTGACAGCAGAGGACAAAGAGGACAGTAGATATGAACACATGAAAGGGGGGAAAAAATACCAGGACAAGAACTTCAAGTCCATAGAATAGAGCCCACAGCTGCATCCTAGAAGGGTATCCCCAGACTTTGTATAAAAGGATCTTGGCAGCCACATACCAGAAGTGCCTTTAAAAGTGCACTATGGAAGAACATTCTCTGCACACACTACACTGGGGGGAAAGGAATGGACACATGCAAGCTCTGAGTATACCTTTCAGATACTTTTTTGATGATATTCAATAGAAAACTACTGAACTAGCTCTTAGAGACAACTGCATTTTGAAGACTTTTAAAAAGGAAATTTCAGGCCAAAAAATGGAACTGGACAAATGATAACATCTGAAAACGGTTCATGGGGGGATTGCAAATAAGAGTATGATAATCTCTTTCAAACAGCACCACCCTTTCCTGGTCAGAGGATAAGATGCAACAGAAAGAAATGGCTGTAAATTCTTTCATGCCACCAGAAGTGTGGCCATCCTACATCTCCTCAGTATCATTTTTAGTCTCATCAAAGCATAAAAAGTAAAGTAACCCCAGCCAAGTGTCCTTTGTAGCTTCATATTTGTGAAGCAAAATTTAATAGCCTGGTTGGCAGTGCCTAGTTTTGAATTTGAAAGCAAAACTGGTTTTGTTTTTTAAATAGGTTTTGGTGTCAATCAGCACCATTCAGCAATAGGACAGAACAGCACAGTCTTTTTCTGAACTAAAAAAACTGGGTTTGGTGCTTGTAAGCCTTATCTAGATTAACATAAATGCCAACTAGAAGCAGCAGCATTAAGCCTGAAACCCCGACACTAGAATTCTGTGCCTTGCAATAACTTTCCACATACGGTTGCCTGGTTTAGTAAAGTAGTACAAATCGCCTTAAGACAAGGCTGTAGTTAAACAAGCCAAGCACCTCAACAAGGGTCTCCTCTTAATATTTTGGCTAAATCCAGGAGTGTCAGCTGTTTGTTACAGACTCTGCCTTCATAGTGGAGTGGTCAGATTCATTTTAGCCAGTACAAAGAACTGGTCAAGTGACAAATCTATTCTCAAACTACTCTACCAATCTATTTTAGTAATAGAAGTGCTGCACTTTTCTGCAACTCGGTATAGGGCAATTCATTTAGCCACAGAATTAGATTGAGAAATTAATTCCACTCCCTCCTCCCCCCGTTTTGGGGGAGGGGAAGGATTTTCCAGGCAAAAAGGGTGAGGCATTCTGGAGAGAGCCCAACTAAGACATCTGGATCAACACATACTGCCCAACCAAGGCACACCATGCAGCTCCGCATCTGTCTCTGAAGCAAAAGCAAGTCACCTGTCCTTGCTGCACAAGAGAGTAAAGCTGTTACCAAGTCATTTGGCAATTAAGCATTTGCTTACCTTTAAATTTAGGGATGTAAAAACTGGAAGTTTTGTTGCAAAGGCAGTTGTTCAGAGTAAAAGGAAGCGTGGCAGAGTAGGAGAGTAAATTTGAGTCAGAACCTCCGCAAACTGTTCAGTACAAAAGCAAAGGCCCTCAAGGTAGAACTAAGGGCAAAAATAAGTCACTGTTCTGATTGGCCAGAAGGCCAACCAATCAAATCATTAAGTTTAGAAGTCTTCCTCAGCAGTAGAGAAAGCACCAAGCTCTACCTCACTTTCACTGCAGAAAGATCCTTTGCTTTCCACACATCAGCATTATGACGCGGGAGGAGTATTTCCTTGCACTACAAGTGCTGTCAAGTGTGCTGAGATCCTGACAAAGGATGTTACTTACCTTTACCGGCAAAGCATTTCACATTACTAATTTACAAAGCCCCTGCAGCAGTAGAAACTGGCCACACCACAGAAATTGAGGAAATGCAACTACAAACATTTCAGGTACATGATGTTTTTTCCAGGATTCATTATGCTATTACGACAGTCCGGGCTACTGAAAAGTGCAACAGCAAACAGAATTCCAAAGGAAAAGCTTGTGCAAGAAAGAAAAAAAAAGTCAAAACAAAGTTAAGAATACCAGTCACTTCTGCACTGTTCCTGATGATGCTCCCCCCCACAGAACAAAGCTATTCGAATGCTGGAACTTTGTGCGTTACCGGAGGGCCTGTCACACATCAGGACATCTTTCTGCAGCAAAATGTTAGGTGGCATAGGAATGAAAAGATAGGAATAAATTGATTTTACAGCACTACCACATTGTGTTAATTCACTTCTCTCTGCAAATAGGCTTTCTAGTACAAATACTGTAGGCAAGTCTCAAAGCAATTCAAGGTTCACTGAACAGTTTCTCAAGGTGCAGCAATTCTCACTGTCCGATCCTCTTTTCTTCTTGATTTGATGAGCCTGACCTAAGAACAATTTTTTTTTATTATTATTGCTGAGGAATAGCGACACCTATTGTTACTCACTATTCTGCATGCAAGGTAAATTCCGCACTTCAGCAAGCTATGCGATTGATAAAGTGCACTTGTCATTTAATATACTGCTCCCATTAACTCTGTAAATTTAGTTCAGTACTTCAACTAGTCCCATATCAAACACACACTCCCACCTTATTAAAGACTGAAATCATTGGAAAGAGTACTAACATCAGCAAGAACAAAAACATCACCTTAACCTCATACACATACAGTAACCATGATCCAGAATACTCAGGACCAAACTTATTTTACCCAATTTGTACATTGATCAATTTGCACAGAATGTACTTTATTATATTCAGCAAGGAGTGGCCTTATGTTGAACTGTTCACAAAAGCAATAGTGTAGATCCAGCATGTTCCATATTTTACAGCAAACCTGAGATGTTAAAGAGAAACCTGCCAATAGCGAATGCATTTCAGAAAATGGACAGTTATGTTTTGCCGTCTTGCAGAGCTATGTCTTACAGAAAATAGAAGAGTTAAGCATATAGAGATTAAATGCTGAGGCCCCAAATCACACATTTAAGAGGATAGGTCTATTTCACAACTCAGGCCAGATGGTGTTTCAAAAGGTACTGAACACCTGCAAACTCGCTGTTTTCAGCCTGCAGAGGATACAAGTGAGAGTGCACCAACTGAAAATGTGACCGACAGAACAAGAAACCAAAACAGCAGCCACAGCTTTTCTACACACCCATGAGCTAAAAAGAGCACATTATGATATGCTACAAACTCCAGTGATAGTTTGATGTGCCTGAACCATAACAGCTCTTGCAGGCCTAGCATTCAGCCTACATTAAAGGAGCAGTGAGCATCAAAACCAAGGCCTTAGTGACATGAACTGGGAGGTCTCTGCTACTTTACAGTACGTGGAACTGGAACTGGTTAGAGAAATATGAAAATCTCCAAATCACAACATGGCCATGCCCCTGTTAGCTGCTGACATTTGCATCAAAACAAGATATAACACTTTAAAGTTAATGGATTTAAACCTTTGTTATATAGACTTTATGAAGCTGTAGCCAGCCAGATCACTGGTGAGGCATTAGGGAATTGTAAATTATACTGAATGATGCATGAACAACCATGAATTCAAGGGGTCAGAGAAATAACAAGCATCCCTAAGGATATTGTTTGCCCACCCTAGTAATTTACTGCATTGGTTCTAGGCCATGCTGATAAGTAACTCATGCAAGCATCCTTCAGTCCTGTGGGTCCATTGATTTGTTTAAAAGTTAAAAAGGAAGTTGTTGCAAACAGTGGCCCAGACATCCAAGATCTGTTTCCACGGGCTGCATGGAACATCTTATAGCCAACAAGTCTACACAATGCTGGCTAGGCACATCACCGCCGAGTCAGCACCAGATGACAGCCATACACAAGCACACTAGGCATATCCTGGCATTTGAGAGCAAAAATCTAAAAAAAGCCATTTTAGTTGTCAGTTCATCTAGCATTAGCAACCTGGGTTAGGTATCACTGCACTCAATACAGTTAATTCTAAAGTTAATCATAAAAAAATCAATTAAACAATTAATGTATTTTCTTCTTTGCTGCTATGAGTTTTACTAGCTGCCTCCATTTGAAAATTGCTTATGTCTTATTCAAGCTTGTAGTGACTGGCATTATCCACCCCAAACTGACCCAGACTTAAGAGCTCTAAATATTTAACTCCATACTGTGAAAAAAAACAAACATTCTGAAGCAATCAGAACACTTTTCCCCATCTTAATTGCAATAGCAGGAGTACTGCCTGCCATCTTTAATGCAGAAACCAGCAAGACTACCACCTCTCATCAGGGCCAGGAGAAATCAGGCAGTACATATTAAACAGACTCAGGAAGAAAATTATTTACCTGAATGGTAGGGCAGATCAAAACGTGGCTGCTCCAATCGCGACACTGTTCTTTTAATCATTTCAACATAAAATGTTAGCAAATGCTGAAGTATCAGCTTTAAGCACATATCCTGAATGTATTTAAACAAGAAGTATGGGTATGCAAATAATCTCAACGGGCAAAAGGTATTATAAGACAGTATTTATAGTGATCTTTGAAATTAACAGGTGCAAACACCATATATCCACACAGATTTCTTTTTCTTTAATTTTCCTTGGAATAGCTCTCATTCTTTCCCATAAGGCCAACACTTGCATTTATTTCTCTCTGTTTTCCTATCAGGAGCAGTGTCAAAAAACTGAAGATGAACTTTCATGCACAAATCTTTAAATAATTATATTTATAACCAATTCAAGTCATATGCTTCTGCCCATGTGCCTCCAACACTAAAGATGCAACTTTTTCTGTCCTAACCCATCCTTTTTAAAAATGTGTTCAGATATAAGATCTAGTCCTCTGTCTGGCACAAACAGCAAGTAAAAGGACAGGAAGTAACTGAGGATAAAACTCACTAACAGGAAATACTGGAACTATTCAAGGGAAGAAGCCATTTTTTCAACACAAAGTCCATTGATAGCAGTGGGAGTGCCAGAGCATCACCACCACCACCAAAGGATTTAGAGCATTTGGGACAGATACTAAAAGAGGCGCTTTCATCTAAATGGATTCATGCTAAGATGTTTTCATGACATTTTTTAAAAAGAGCATGAAAATAAACCTTTATTTCAGTTAACACCCACCAATATTAGAGAGATGTTCACAGTTTTAGTTCTTGACACAAATGGACTGAAAGAGGCAAGTTTACATCTATCAGAACAACAGATGGACCAATTTTAAGTACAGGCTGTCTTGAAAACATGGGAAGTGTGATACTATGCAAGATATTGCTCTATATTCTAGTGTGGGAGAAATGGAAACACTAACGTCTACGACGAAGTCACATCACACTATTGGGACCCTAAAATGCTGGACTAAATGCAGCAGTAGCATGGTTTGTCTGGAAACAGCAGTGTGTTTGTGTAAAAGAAGGGAGCTATAGAACAGAAAGTTTTTCAGTCAGCATGGACCAAGATGAAGGTATCTGTGTGGCTGCATAATCAAAATGTGCTCCCAACAGATCTCAAAAGCCTTCACCGTACCTCTGACAGGAAATGTGCCATGATAAAAGGGACAGGGAAGCAAAATTTCTTATAATTTACTACTTGGTGCCAGGCACAAGAACAGCCTAATGCCAGGCTCCTACGTAAGACATAACTTAGTGTCAAGAGAACTGAACCAGGCGCCAGAAATGTTACCATTTCATTTGAAAACTTGCCACCTCCTCTCTCAGCCCACTGTTTTTAAAACCGATAGGCGAGTGCATGAAGTGTCTCTAGCCCAATATTAACACTGGTTTACATCAACACAAAGTTTTTGTAGAAAACATTTCAGATAAAGCAAGCCAACTAAACATCACAATTAAGGAGTTTGCCATTTTCATATTCAAAGGTCTCCAATACTTTTTGCCTGTCCTGTACAGCTTTAAAAAAATAGGGCATTACCATCTGTTTTCTATCTACCTAGTTAAGAAACTACAAATGTGTAATAAGCTGCTTAGAGTGTAACATTAAATAAAATGAGAATCCTGCTTCTAGTCTCCTAGAATATGCTGCAGCCAAAAAATAAACCCTAAGAAATTATTTTTATTAGTCATTCTCTCAACTCCGTGTGTTTTTGGAAGTGGTAACGTTCCTGTTCACAGGGTTTAAAGTTAACCTATGAGAAATTTTACAGGTGTAAGTGAAGCTTCTTACAATCGCACCATGAAAAACATTCATTCGTCAGCTAGCAATCAGAGACCAAAAGGTGAAATACTAGAGCAAAAAATCCAGAATGAGATGGAGAACACGTGTTTTTGGTTATTACCCCATGCAGACTGCAGGTGTCACCTTTTGAAGCAGTTTTTTCTTAGGACTTCCATGAGTCAAATATTTCTCTTTCCCAACAAAGCAGTGCCCTTTGGTTTCTTCAGAACAAGGACTGCAGCTAATGGAATAGCATTACAAATACACCAAAAACTGATGCATTTATAAAATCCACTGCACTGCCAGATGTAAAAGAAGTAGACTACTAGAAATCTATGCCCTGCCCATTCCCCTTTCCCAACCCTGTGGAACAGGAAAAGTTATTCCTATCTCCAGGATGCTTAAGGAATATTAAGTATTCAAGACCAACTTTTACCAGCAAAACATCTAAAACTGCTGAAGGGAGGAAATACAGCTAAAGAAGGTAAAGTGAAAGGTGGGATATATCATTTTAAAAATTGTTTAAGGCCAATTATCCACACATCACTGCTGGATCAATACAAAGTTACTTGACTGAACCAATGTGCTTGGAATATTTTTCAAGTATTTGATACCCATTTTGAGTAAGGGTCTTGCATACACAAACTACCAAACAGATGAAAAAATGACTTTTTTCCAAGTTTGAAATTAAGTATTAAAACTAAATTAAAATATACCAGACGTTAGTATTCCACACAGTACTAACAATTTGCCAAATTAAGGTTTGCATATCCCAAGTAACCATGGACTGATAAAAATCTGCTAAGCAGATATTAAAGGAAACAGAAAGTGTGCAATATTTAAAAACCAGTTTGTAGATCAGGGAAAATGTCTAAAATCCTGAATTAAAAAACACAAATGAAGTGAAAGCTTAACTGGTACACACTGTTCACACCTATATTTCAAGTTTGGAAACGCATATTTTCAAGCAGCAATACAAAAAAGTATCCATGAAGAATGCATAATCTCTGAAAAAATTATGAAAACATCCCTGCTACCATTACATTTCTAAATACAAAACTGACTACCATATTGTTGCTTCTGTGTAGCAAGAGAAGTTCATTTTCAAAACAGATAAAATTCAGTCTTTAGGTGTGAATGGCATGAATGACAGTCCCCTTTTTTAAAATTTCTTAGTTGTTTAGGATCCTTAAGCATGCAAGCCTCGTAGAGGAGGGCCCAGTGATGGGTCAGGGTTGGCTTATGACATCCGGTTTAGGACAAAGCTGGGAAAGCCTCTGGGTCATCTACATCAGGAGCAGAAGCACTTGACTGAAAGAAAAACAGTACAGAAGTTACCTGGAGAGGCAAAGTTCGGAGTCTTTATAAATTTTCATCTTTTTTTTTTTTTTTTGGCTGGAAACTGTCAAGAACAGTGCCTACTTGCTAACAGACTCCGTAAAGTAAAACTGACTAGTCGATATAGACCAAGAGATAACTGAAATGTTTTAAGGTTGTTTTCCCCATGATAAATCACACTGGTAGTCTATTTGAAGTTTTCCCACACTAACATTTTACTAATGCTATTCTAGTGATTTAAGTGATCCATTTTAGACATGTACCAACCATGGTCACATCCTTTAATGCATCTGCCAGCTTTCATAGCACTTGTACCTCTTGGGGAAGGGGGGCGTGTGGAAAAAGCTGTTAGTTCCTTGCTTGTAAAATAATTTGGTTGAACTCTAGTTGAAGATCAAACAGATTCAGGGCTAATATACATTAAACTTAAAGACGCACTGAACCACCAAGATAAAAGTCAAGCATATCTTTAACGAAACTCTATAAAACCTTAGTTACTGTGCCTGAGTAGTAATACAATGGCAGTCTGGAATGAAAGGGCTTCCGAATAATCTCGACTGCACGTGGGTGTGTGTCCACGTGTACACACAATAATATGTGGAAAAAGGAGTGGTCATACACCAAAATGATAAAAAGGCTTGGAAGACAAATCATACTAGGAGGCTGAAGAAGCTAGGCATGTTCAACAGGGGGGAAGGCAAGGAAAGACATGGAAGCAATCTTCAAATACTTGAAGGGCTGCTATAAAAAGAAGAAAAAACCCTTGTCTCTCTGGCTGTAGAGAGCAGGACATGGACCAATGGTTTTAAAGTTGCAGCAAAGGAGGCTTACATTGGATAGCAGGAAAAGCTTTTTCACTGTGGGTGAATTACATATGCAATTAAGGCGGAACAATGAACTCTGACACCAACTGTCATATTTGGGGGTCAGCCCAGGGCTCTGGGCATCAGGTGGCAGAGAGGCTAGCTGGGACATGAGAGGTGCTAAAGTGCAGGGCTAGGCAGCAGGCAGCCCCTGCACTTTAGCACCCCCATGCCCCAGCCAGCCCCTCATCATCCACATGTGCATTTCAATGCACGCAAGTACTCCACTGTAAATGGTGACATTTTACTGCAGAGCTGCAGTAAACTGCAGTGAAGCGCACATATAAATGCACCCAGTTAGGACAATGAGAACTGACCATCACTGGAGCTGCTCAAGCAGAGGCTGGACAGCCATTGGTCAGGAATGATCTACATGTAGCTATGCCTACCTTCTACTATGGATATTTTTCATGCTTCTGGGCTTTGCTGGTTGCTGCGTGGGATTGGGAGGAAATTCCCTAAACACTCTCTCCCTCCCCCCGCTACATGTGTCAGCAGTACTTTTTGGCCTAAGCCGAGGTACAGATTGTTGGCTGCAGCCAAGGCTGGTGAGGGCCAATGTTCCCAAGACATAGCTGGGGTCAGAAACAAAGTTTTACCCCATGGTCAGACTGGTATCCACTCTGTAGGAGGCAGCATGGCCCTCTTCCTGGGAGTACATATACATATTCCCAGGAAGAGGGCCATGCCTCTGTGCGCGTTGGCTGCGCACACATAACAGAGGTGCACCGATACACCAGTTCAATATTGGATCAGTATCAATATAAAGAAAACTGGCTGCATCAGAAATCAGCCTGATGCAGCCAATAAATGCTTGTGTGTGCGTGCGCAACCACAGCACAGCAAGCAGGCAGCAAAGAGCAAAACCTACCAGCTGCACACAGCTCTTCACACACTGCTAAGCCTGGTGTGATGGAAGGGGGAGGTGGAGGGAGGGGGTGCAGATTAATGCCCCTACAGTGAGAGAGGGGGGCAGGCACGCACTTCCCAGTTGGGACAGGGGATGGAGCCACAACTTGGGGAAGAAGCTCCTGCCACTGCATGCACCCCAGACGGGCACAGGAGAAGGCGTGTGCCCCCGGATCTGCATGGGGTGGGGTGGATGGGCTGCAGCTGCAAGCTGGAGCTGGGCTCTTCTTGGTGGGGGCTGGGTTTGGGGTGGGGCTACAGAAGAGGCTGCAGCCACATTTCACCATGGCCCCAATTCCAGTGCCGCCGCATACCTATCACATTCCCAGCTCTTCCCCCAGAGTATGGATGGAGGAGGATCATCGAATTGGGGCTGCACTGGGAGCAGGGCTACAGTAAAATCTGAGGTGGCTGCAGCCCCCTGCCCCAAGCCCAGCCCCCACTGAGAACAGCCTGGCACATCCCCAGCTGCAGCTGCCCACCCTCGTGTTACAAGCAGTGGCAGGTGCCTCCCGCCCCCTCCCTCACTGTGAGGGGTACTGAGCTGCGCCTCCCCGTGCCTCTTCTCTCCCCCCTCCCCTTCCACCACAACCAACTTCCCAGCTGTACACAGCTGTATCGGAAATTGGACTGGTATCAGCCAATATGCCTCCTTAAAAGTGCTCTATCGGTACTGGCCCCCCAAAATCTCTACTGGTGCACTCCTATATATTAACCTTTACAACAGAAGGATGTGGGCCTCCTAGGTCCCCCTGCTTTACATGTGGCAGGTTGGGGTAGGTCTTGTGTTGTGTCAGGGTTGACCACATTAATTTTACTGAGATCAGACAACGGATTTGTATAGGATGGTCTGGATACGGATGATGATCCCGCCTCAGGTATGGACGGGGCTGTTTTAAAAGACCTCTCAAGGTCCCTTCTAGCCCTACCTCTTTATGACTATGACCAAGAAAGGAAAAAAGGTCCATTTGTAGCACTCCAATCACTTATTCAGCAATATGGAACCCAATAGTCCAAGAATTAGAAATGCAATTGCTAACAGTTAAGGAACTCCAAACCAACAGAAACAGCAGAAATCCCAACACACAAATACAGGAGAGGCAGGAAAAGCCTCATGAGAGCTCCTGGCGCTCACACTCAAAAAGGAGTTACAGTATAGCAGTTAGGTGCCAAACACCTACTATGACAAAGACCTCTCTCCCTCCCCTACTTGCACACTATCAAAACTAAACAAAGAAACTATTAAAATCCAATCCATTGAAAAAAAAACCCCAAATATATACATACCCCCACCCTACCTTCGTCTGCTAGCCCTATGCAAAGGGAAAATAAATACTATTTAGTAGAGATCACCAACCTGGCTGGGTGCGTGGATCACGTCAAACTCCTTAACCAACTGGAAGAAAACACACAAAGTCAACACAAAATAGCTGCATATCTGAAAGCCTGTAACAGTAGCATCAGGAGGTAACTTTAGTAGTATTTTTAGGTGAGCACGTGAAAGTCTCAATTTATGGCCTCTAAACTTTAACATATTTTGACAAGAAAAATGTCCGTCTTCTAGGTATCTGTCTAAAACACAGGGAGTACAACCACAAACTGGGAGTCTATTCCTTTACAAAAGGGATAGCATAAAACTACTTAAACTAGAGATGAGAACTTATTTCTAGGCATTCTGTGCAACTGCCAAAGACAGATTATGATACATTAATTACCAACAAAAAAAGGAAAAGATACTAAAGCACTCCAAAGTCCTAGTTGGAACTCTTTGTACTTGAAACTTTAAAGGGGATAAAAACTATACAGTATTTGTATCCTACAAACACTTAAGAATGGTTTGTTACTTGGTAAACTGACTCCCCCCACCCTCTCCATGGAGAAAACAAAAAGAAAGAGACTGGCTAATAAACACACTCATATGATAACAATTTCAAAAAAAGGCAGAGTTCTCTTGAAAAGCTTGATTATTAATCCAACCTCAAAGTATTTAAGAGATCCAAACTATCCTGCTACAGAAAACGTGTCCTTTGTAAATAATCATTTACCTTGTCAGTTCTGCTTCCACGATTGGACCTTCCACCACGTCCCCGGCCACCTCTACCACCTCTGCCACCACGCCCGGGGCGACCAAGGTCTCCAAAATTGATCTCCAGCTGGGATGTGATATCATTTGCTGGTTTACGGAAGTGATGATCAATTACAGAGTCTTCAGCATGAGCCTGCATTAAAAAATGAAGCTATTTATAATCAAGTAATAATTAAAAAAAATAATAACTTAAAAAACCCCCACCACCATTCAGAATAATTCCAACTTCGACTCTGACTAACACACACTTAGAGTACCTGCTTAAATGCAAGTACCAAGTATGGTATGGATTCAACCCAAAGATCAAGAAACCAGAAGTTTCTTTTCCTAGTGAAAAATACCACAACTTCTAAAGACTGCAGAAACTCTGCAACGTACAAGCTAATATACAGCAATGTTAACATTCTCTGAACCAAGTTTAAACTGAACACTATTTAATCCTCGGAACAAGAGGATTTAAGGTCTGAATCAAATATTGTATTTTCTCACATGCAACAGGGCACTCCCCTCCCCACACACAAAAGCTGCTGGAAGTTGTACTATGTGGTGTGAGGAAATACAGTAAGGGTAGTTTCTGCCAGGATAAAGTGAGGGTGCAGATAGAAGTACGGCTCCCAGCTGTAACTCAGAACCATTTCTGCAAAGCGTTCTGAGACCCCAGACCAAACAGAAGTTCCCTTTCCCCCTGGAACCAACAGTGAACCTAGCTGCCAGCTGGGAACCTGCAGCCAGATTCCCATAACAGCCAGGGCTCTCAGCCAGTGCTGTTGTTTTCAGAAGGGGGGGGAGGAAGGAAAGCAGCATGGGGAGCTTGTTCTTGGGGCTCCTCAGCTGGCGCTGAAGGGTGGGGTGGGTGAACTGGAGCACCCCCCCCCAGGTGAGGGGCTCAGATACACCCCCCAGCTGAATTCAGCAGCACACTACATGAGAAAGTACATTTCATTTAAAAGACAAGCAAAGTAATTTTCTAGCATCCTTGTCGATTCCTAGCAGTTATTCTTTTCCATGTATTTAGTACTTAACTTTAAAATTTGTCTGCACAGTCCCTTTATACCTCTTTCATTTCATAATCCCCAAGGCAAGGAAGACTGACTATGCTGGACCACCCACAAAAAGATACTTTATTAGGTTATGCAAACTATACTGCCATTATAATAGCAACAAGCAGCTCCTACATCATGCTTAAATACAGAACCAACTGGCATATGAATTGAAAAATATAACAGGACCCTACCAATTGAAAACACATGAGAATTTATTTCCAAGTTAAAGTTCCAGAAGGCTCCAGATATTTTAGGTATTTGGAATCTGATAAAATGTTTAGGAAACCCTAGCTCCTAGTACAGAAGTCAGTAAGGTCGGACGTATTAATAGGAATCATCTGTATATAAAACATATACACCACTATGTACATAAAAGTTACTAGACATAAAAAAAATGCAGAGAGAGAATGGAGAGAAGGAAAAAAAAAGACGTGCCTGTTCTGCATACCTCATCTATACTTAAATGACTATAAACTATAATAAATGAAGAATTAAAACTCTGCCCTTATTTTGACAATTATCAGCATATTATATTAAAATACTTTAATCTCAAGGAGAATCTTCCCTCCTTTTAGCTAAAAATAAAAAATCCAATGTTTGTTCATTTCAGACCAAGAGTGCCCTGAATTTCTGAAAGCAGCAAACAATACACCATTACAACTTGAGCCACTACAGATACCCATGAAAAAGTAATCCTATTTATTTAACTGGGGTAGTACTTAAAAACTCTAAATATCTAAGCCTCATTGTCCTTGATCTATGAAAGCAGGCAAAAAGGTACTGCTCCTATTCTGAAAAAACTTAAATCGTACAGAAGGAATAAAATGAAAGCTGAAGGGAAAGGGAAGAGACAAACAATATATAATTGTCGTACCATATGACATGCAAAGGCTGATTATTCTAAACAGTTTTTTCACTCTTACAAGAATAGTTTATAAAGCATCAACAATATTCAGAAGTTTGCTGACTAGTCATTATCAGTTGATGATTTCATGTAGGTATCATAGCAAAAATGGTCTTGAAGACTGTGAAACAGAACTTTATGGACTAGCTAAAGGAGATGCGCCCCAAGGTATAAGACAAGATATGAAATAAGAGGGGAGCAATTTATGGAAGCAAGCAGTTATGGTGAGAACAGCTTTAAACTTAATCATCTGGGAAACAAATATACTGTTTTATGAAGTAGTCGTACATGATACACAGCTAGACAAGAGGCAGAGACAGAAGAGCTCCAGCAGGTATCTACTCAGATGCCCTACTTCATTCTATATAGAATGAAGTAGGGCATCTGATCGAGATCTTTATATTTCATATATAAATAGCAATAAAATATAAAGATCTTCATTCAAGAATTACCCAATTAATGAGATTACATTAAATGCAAGTTATCACTAATCATATATGTAAAGGGTCAGTACCTCATTCGATTCCAGCAGACTCCCCTGCATTTCTGTCATCGCCTTTGTCTGATGAAAGTCGTGTGTCCATACCAAAGAGACAAAAGGAACAAAACAAAAAAGAAGTGAGACTCAACTACATACAGAAACAGGTAATAATGTCATGTGAACTTGCTGGATGCAAACGCCAGTGAGTACATGAAGGAGCAGGAGAATGAGATCAATGGCTATGTGAGCATCCAGGAAGACAACGGGATGGTGAATAACTGCAGGTTTGAGTAAAGCATTTCGATTCAACCATAAGCAAACTAAAAGTTATGCTACAAGTCTCACAAAGGAACACAGATATATGAATCTGTCACTCATGCTCCGATACCTCTGCAGCAAGAATGGAATAAGACCCTAGGACATGCAGGTTAATTTTTGAAAACTGCTCAAGATAAGTATCTGTACAGAGCTTGGATCTTAAGCACCATCCCCTAACTGCAAAGTTAACATAAGCCTGAGTATATGAACTAGCATTTTTTTTATATGATGGGCAATACAAAAAACTAAAAAAAAGGAAGCTTACAGGCTTTAAATATTTTCAAAGGAGACAAGTCATTTTAACAGTCTCTCATCATAACATGACAGACAACAAAAGAAAAGAAGCCCAAGAAACTACTTACGACATGTGACAACATGCTTTTTTTAGTACCACTTAAATCATTAAAACCTCAAAACTTATAAAGAACTTTTCACAATGCCACCCACATTTGGGTTTTGGTCCCCACCTCCAAGTGCTGTTAGAACAATTTGGATGTTCAACTCAGTAATCATTTTTCTTGTGCAGTTTAAGATTTGCTTTATAATAGAATTCAGCTTAAGACCTCTGTGGAAAAAGGTCTCAGACTAGATCACGGTTGCCAAAATTCAATAGATTGCTACCAATTTTAAAAGGTGCAATCTAATTTTGCTGGACAATTATATTTTTCTCTTTCCTTCTCCTCTTGTTCTGCATGTTTAAGAAAACAGCTCAGGTAGTCAGCCACCAACTCATTAGAAAAGCCAAAAAAAAAAGCTGGCATGAGAAACATTTCTTTTGAAAGACTAAGGAGATGTACAAGACTGAACCAACATCTTCTCTATTCTTAGAAAATCCCTGGGTACTTGTGCTCCCCACAACATACTCTTCTCATCCCTTCAGAGCCACACACTGAAGTAAGTGACAGCCCATGTAAGTGACTGCCCATTCAACCTGATTTCCAAGATAAGCAGGTAGGATACATTTTGATAATTCATTCACAATAGTCTTATTAAAAGGACCTGGAAGGAAGCCTAGAACTTAGATAAACCAAACTACTGTTGTAAGAGAACTACTGTTTGACTACTATTGATCAGAAAGAGGTATGCACTAGTGGTCTACATGCAGTTATTCCATTCCACTAAGCATTTGTTTCATTGTTGACAAGAAGGTATAAGAAGCCAAAAGGAGCAGGAACAGTTATTACTGTTTTAACTTGTAGATTATAGTACTTGCTCAACTGGCTGGTAGAGAGCTCATGCTAATGCCACTCTGGATTTTCAAATTACAGGAAGCTCTTGTGGAGCACTAGCCAACAAAGTTTGGCATTCTCCACAAAAACCAGGCAAGGGTGTGGAAGAGACTTATGCAACTGAAATAGTGTCCAGATGGGTTATTTTAACAGTCGCCCTCTTTCCTAAACTAGAAAGGGAAAGCCAAATTCAAGTCACATCAACAGTTGTACAAGCTCACTTAGTTTGAAAAGCCTCAGTTATTAAAACGGGATACTCATTCTTTAGTCATTGACATTATGACTGCAAATTAAGGGCTATTTTAAAACACAAGAATCTAAAAGGTACAGCCATTTGTCTTGGGAGGACAAGATTATTTGCATCTCTACCTCCATTACTGAATCATTTTAATTCACTTAACTCACATCTGAGAAAAGAAATTTGCACTAATTAAGATAAAAGACACAATATACATCTTCCCATCTGCAGATAAATGACTCTGAAGTACTGCTGTACTATTAATGAATTATTTTTATAGTTTAGATCTGGCAAAAACATTGAAGCTTCTCTGCCTTTGCAGGTAACAAAACATGGCTTGGGAGTCTCCAACATGGCTGCAAGTGAAGAGTTAGAGATCATAAAACATAATAAGATTGCTTACATACGCACAAGCCTCTACAAAAAGGTAAATAAAAGTTTGGGTTTTTCCAGATTTCTTCTCCACTCACTAGCTCAGGTAGGATAAAGATCTAGGCAGACTGCTTCTGGATAGGAAAGAGCTAACCAGAGAGTGAGCAAGGATAAAACAAGCAAGCAAGAACAGGTTTTACTGTAGAAGCCAACAAACCCAGGAAGTAATCCAAGTGTAAATTTTGAGAAAGCCAATAAACCCAAAATTAAACCCAGCATTCCCTCCACTGACTATAAATAACTATAAACCGTACAACTCAACACTACCTAAAGTGTAAGTTTGTTACTTCTGTGCTCCTTTTTTGTTAATAAATTCTTAATTTAAATGTCTAAGCTAAATTATGCAACATATATGCTTACACTGACAGAAATATCCTCATGAAATACTAAATCCAGCAATGCCTCTAGTTTCTTTAAAATTGTGACTGTATTTTACGAAAAGAGCAAAATTTCAAAGAAAATAAAGTTTTATTTTCAACATGGTTGCTCCATACAGTCACATAATTTAAAAGTAAGCTTCAGATATTCATCACCTTAAGTAAAATGGAAGCTTGTAAACATAAAGGATACATAAGAACCAAGAATTCATACAGCCACAAGCACAGTATTAACAGAACACCCAAGTCTTCCCAGACCTGTGGCTTAGTATCTTCATTTATAGCAATGTGGGGGGTTAGAGGGGTAAGCTATGCCTAAAAGAGTTCTACATAAAATAGAAGAAAATATTTGCTAAGAGCGAAAGCAGTTTAATTAAAAAGAAGAGAAAAAAAATGTACCCAACAAAAGATTAAAAGCAGATTCTATAAACAGTTACTGGACAACATAGGTTATTTTTAAAGGGAAGAAAACAGAGAAGCTAAGACTCGTCACAAAATAATTCTTAATGCAGTTAACTTTGAAGCTTTCTTAATGTTATGTGAAGCCATTTTAAACTACCGGTTAGGCTGCTTTAAAAAACAGCATTTGCTCCCCTTACCTGGAAATTAAAGGAATTTGACTCTGAACCTCTTAATACCAGAGCACCTAAGGACTGATTATTTACTAAATTGTATGTGGATTAGAGAGTGATTCTAGAATTTAAGATTTCCCTAGTTCTGGTTCATAACCGTTACAATGCCAAACATTGCAAAATAAGTTTATATATGGTTTGTCCATTTTTAAAGGTGCTCTAGCAATACAGAGCCCACAACATATCAGGACGTGTACACTATGAAATCAACTCGTCAATTAACTTTAAAAAGGTTTCCAGGCTTGGACAGTTAGCTTCCCACATTACTATAGAATCTACTGCACAAGCCCATGCACTAAATGCTACCTGTGAGCACAACAGTAATAATACTGTGTTGTTGCTAATTTCAGGCTTTATCAAGTGGCTTTTGAAGTTTCTCAACTATTTAAAACATACATGTTGCAAGGCAAAGTTTAACTAAGTAAGAGAGATAAGTTTTCTTGTCTATTAAAATTGCAGTAGCTTCCCAGATTTTTTGTTCTCAACTCTTTATCGAAAAAAACCTGTATCCATTAGGCTGGAGGGAGAGATGGCTCAATAACGAAACCAATCATATTTAGCATCATCTTATTTATGTTGCTTTCAACTTTTAGCACTCGTTAACAAATCATCCTGTTATTTTTTTTTAGACAGCAGTTTTACTGACAGTCCTGGAATCCCAAGGAGTAAAATTTGTAAAGTCAGAACAGTACTTATGTATTTGAACAATAAGATCTGGATACTCTTGAATACCATTAAATGTTACTTTACCTCCTCACTCTTTGACTTATGGAGAACAAATCCTTTTTTCCATTGCCCATCAGCACCCTCATTTGGTTTACGGATGTTGAACTCAACCTTTGCACGATCCTTACTTTGAATAGCTTTCCATTCATCCAGGGTCATTTCTTTAGGACCTTCTTCCTTAACCTCTTCAACCTCATTCTCTCTGTAATAAGTTCATTTATATTATAATTACTGACTTTAGATTTCTATTCATTCATATTTTAAAGACCTGTGTGTAGCAAATTCAAAAGCAGTGTAGTGACAGAACAGAACTCTGTATGTGACAGACTTTGTAATATTTATTAGACCCATTAAGTCTGTAAAGAATGCTGCCCTACAAAAAGCATGTTGCCGTTCACAGATTCTTAATTATTAAGAAAAAGAAGTCTCTTCTAGACAATGAAGACCGGGCAAAAGAACAGCAGAACAAGCTGCCTTAGAGGAACCACATGGGAACACAGCACTGTAAATCAGTCAAAAGTAGTTAGCTTAAAAGTTCTCTCACACCTCATTAAGGCTATTTTCTACAAACATTAGATCAGGGGCGGGCAATTATTTTGGACAGAGGGCCGCATGGGTTGCCCCACCCCACCCCATGACAGGTGCCCTGCCCCGTGGCCGTCATTTTGTGACCAGAAGTCCCACCTCCTAACCCCTGACCTTTGCCACCAGAAGTGCCTCCCTCCCCTTGCCCCCCAGAAGTAATCCTTTCAGCAAGGGGTTTTGCTGCCTCAGAACCAGAAAAATACCAAATTATATTCTAAAAGAAAACATCTACAATATTAATTGATTTAAAAAAATATTTTTGTCCTGATTTATATAAATTTGTGTAGCATAGAGGTGATTGCACAATAGCTTAAAATGAAGTCCTGCTCTTGTATGTAGTTGGGGGTAGGTGCATCTGTGGGGGTGGGTAGGTATGGGACTTGTGGTGGGCAGAAGG